CCAGGGAGCACGTTATGGCTTTGATATACGCCAGATCCTTCCTAGACTGCAATGACCATGTAGACTGAGAGAAGGCTGAGCTCTGCTTCACTTGGGAATCTACGCAGCAGTAATTGTTTTAAAGTAACAGCACCACCAGCAACTTCGCTCGATGTGTGACCCTCCATGCCTGCATCTGCCTGCAGTTGTCACTGACCTCCATAGTGTTTCTACCTATACATGCACCTGGCTACCTCAGTAGGACTTCCAGCATTAAAATACATATGACTTTGGTTATTTATTAGAGGTTTTTGCCTTAGGGCACATGCACTTGCCAGAGAGAGACAGAGACAGTGAGAGGGAAAGGGAGAAATCACTCCCCAGGAGGAATGGCCATGCCACAGTCCGTTGTCTTCCGCTCCCCTTCCTGGATCTTGGGCACACATGCACATGCACTCGATGTGAGTTTTAAGCCACTGGGTCCAGGACTTGAACCATGGTCGGCCAGTGGGAGCCCAGCAACATAATGGTGACACCATCTGCTTGTCCCCCAAGTGACATTCTATTTATTCTCTTCTATTTTGAGGATAGTTTGAGAAGTGCATATACCTGTTCATTGTTTGGATAGGCAGGTTTTGTTATTTATGAATTCCACTTCAGAATAGACAAAGAGACACTAAGTCTCAGAAGACACTGGGTCTTAGAACCACAGACATCTTTTGCTGTGTGAGAGGAGGGATCAGGCCAGTGCAAGAACTGACTGGAAATGTCCAGACAGCCAGGAGCCATACGCTATCAGATGAGGTCTGAGGCAGATGTGAGGAAATCAGAATCCTCATGCACCACTGGTGGGATGTGAAAGGGGGCAGCTGCCATGGAAACCAGTCTGCAGATCCTTAAATGGAGTACTGCTTGTACCAGCAATTCCACTCCTAGAAACATCCCAAAAGAAATGAAAATACATGCTCACTCAACAACATAAACACTGATGTTCATAGCAGTGTATTCGTAATAGCAAAAAAAAAGGAAATAACCAAAATCTTCATCAATTTGCGAATGGATAAATAAAATATGGCTTATGTATACAGTGGAATAAGAGTCAGTCATAAAGAGTGATGCAACATGGGCGAATCTTGAAAACATTACGGTAAGCGAAAGAAGCCAGATGCAAAAAGCCACAAAGGGTATGAGTCCATTTATGTGAAAGGTCCAGAACAGGTAAATCTGTAGAGATGCTAGATTCATGACTGCCAGGGGCCGGGGCTGTGAGTCTAAGG